TGTTGTTCAAAAATCATTATTGATTTATATAACAAGAATATGATCAATATACAATTATAGTATAAAATCAATAGAGCTGAAGCAGAGACCAATGGCTGGATCCCAGGGACTTCATCTGTGATGCAGGTACCCCAGGCTGAGAGCCAGGGCATCAACCATCAACACACCTGTTGACACACCTGACTCACTGTTATGTGTGTGTCAAGTAGACCATGTCTCGTTACTGTTATAACTGTTGAACTATTACCCAACCACATATAATATCCATTGTATGTCTTGAGATGAGGTTACCACAGAATTCTGTTGCATGTGACACAATAGATAATATACACACAAGTACGCTTCATCCACAAACGAGTGAATGATGTTATAGACTGCACTCAGCACTGATTCTTCTCGATCCGGTCAACACATAACATGACACATGGACCAGACATGGGTGTGTCATTCACATTGTACATGCTTCTCCATAAAACTCATCATCACACCCCCTAGCCATGAATTATGAACGGTCCCTAAAGAGGTAACACATATTTTAACCTGCTCTTAACTAAGAATGCCCCAGGCACCTACATTATATACATAACCAAAACTGCCTGGATTTAAAAAAAAGATGTCTTTACCAGAATATGATGGCTTACAGGGAAACATGTTTACATTGAACATTATGACTGAATGTATAACATATTCATAATAGATACTGACAGTGCCTAGTATCATTGTGATTCCTAAACCATACTTATATTACAGTTGGAACTGCATTATCACAACAAAATCCCATCAAAAACACTGTGTCATGTGCAATCCTGGAAAACAATTCCACATTACAAACAAGACATGTTCTGAATAAGTGCCAGCCTTTAGTCCCATTGCAATGAGGGCCTGTTGTTTCACATTTGTGTGGATGCTTGTTTCCTAAAAGTAAAACTACCAGTCAACTTGTCAGTTTCTTACATGTTCACTTGGTTTGTCAGTCCTACTCACTTGAGAGATGTGACCCCAGCAGAGTGACTGTCATCTCAGACACAATCAGTGAGTAATCACTGACATTTTGTGTAATATATCAAGATATACCAATGTTCAGAATTTCACCTGTACGCTGTATTTCAAAATCAAAATCAGAGCCTGCAGCTTCTAAGGTCTGTGGGTAAAGATGTCAGATTTTATAACTTTTAGCACAACTTCAAGTGCTATGAACAGCTAAATCCATCATCAGGTAAAAGTACTAAAACATTGACCAAATTGTTTTGAAAGTATAAGACAAAATATGAAAGTGTAGACCAATATCCATATTCAAACATCGTGAAGATATAAAAATATACAAACTTGCAACATGGTTTACAAGCGAGTGAGTGAGTGAGTGAGATTTATCCTGATATTACCAATATTTATGACAGCAGGAGACACTACTTGCTACTCTAATACGTTACCCGACCACTCCACTACTCGCATACAATCAAGGACAATCTATACCGTAAAGAACCCTACTAAGAGTGACATCCATCCCATTGATTGAGCCTGCTACACTATTTGTGATCCATATCATCTTGTATACATACACGATGTAGGGTTGTTGACTCTTAACAAGAAATAACTCAACTCAATTAAAACAGCATAAATGTTTCCCATAAGGTGCTTGGTAACCCTATTGATATTCAATACCGTTTCCTACAGACTTGTACACCATAACAGCAGATGGGAATATGTTAATGAATATTGCTCTAGGTGTAGGTGTACTGAACCACCAGCAGATTCTACATCACACTACATTCAGAATAACATTGTGTGATGTTGGAACATGTGTGTGAGTGAGGAAGTGAATGTTGTATTCTGCCACAGCCAGCAGAAGCACAGCTGTCACATCGACCTAGGGTTGACAAGCAATATTTTACAACCTTGTTTTTCTGTTTAATATTCCAATTCATATACTTCTTCATCTCATCCTGCATACCTAATATATGGAAATTGGAATTTTCACACATCTGGGCCTCATCTGTGGAATAATTTACCACCAGAACTGGTACGTGAACTAAATACTTCTATATGATAGATGAAAACTCATTTGTTGAGCAAAGCCTACAAGGACTAATTAGTGGCCATGTCTCAAAGTGCTTCTGAGCAATAATTCACTACTGGAAACCAGCACTATTCAAGTGTAAATTTTGATTTATACCCGTAAACTGGAGACAGAATACATACAGTCCATCAACTTAATCAACTCAGATATTCTGTCATTGTCTGGTATACATTTGCAGGTATTATTTTCCTTGTCCTGAGAGTTGTTATTGACCCGCAATGAACAGAAAACAAGCGTGAGAAATGAAGGGGAGTTATTATGATAGCTGACTGCTGTACAATCTAGGGATTACATAAATCTGTGACTTTCACCTGGCTAATCATATATAGGTGTGACATTAATCTGTGATGATGTACATCTGTTACGCTTATCAAGGGATCACGAACTGCTGTGACTTGTAACATTATGAAGAGGACCCCATCAACACCATAACATTCCTGCTGAACATGACTGATAACAATCCTGCCACAGGTAGATGTATATCATTCCAGAGCATCTGCCTCTACATCGTTATCAGCTTGTTGATATCAGGGTGCCACATGCTTAACTCCACGCATTGTATGACCTGGCCAGCACTCCTACATTCAGACAACACACACTGTGGAGGTAGGGTAGCCAATAGCACAGTCGGTGCAAACTAGTGATCAATGGAGGTCAGGTGACAGCAGGACAGTGGTGACTTCACTCATTTCTGTGTCAGTCGAAGCACATGTCTAACAATGTGACACAAACAAGAAGTGATAGTAGTCTCCGAGACAGGAGATTACTGTATTTAAACGCAGATAAGCTGAATCTTGGGGACCAGAAAAAAGCTGTCTGTAGAAAGGGGTCGGCTTACTACAGGTTACACTTTTATCAAACTCATCCTTCTGGTGGTAGGACAATGATATTGTATCACTTCAAGAAGACAGACTGACTGACTGACTGACTGACTGAGTTTGGCTTTTACGCCGCTTTTAGCAATATTCCAGCAACATCACGGCGGGGGACACCAGAAATGGGCTTCACACATTGTGCCCATGTGGGGATTCGAACCCGGGTCTCGGTGTGACGAGCCAACGCTTTAACCATTAGGCTACCCAACCGCCCCCACTTCAAGAAGAAGATAGTGAAGACATCAAATTTGCAATTAAACACCACTAGACAATATCATTTACCTTTTCAGAGCTAATTTGTTTTTGCTAGGCATTGTAATATATGTTGTGATTAAGATAAACAGATCTGGAAATAGCTTGATCTACAAGTGATTTATACCCAATAATACAAGCATTGTCACTAAGGTGACATAATCCCCTGCCGCAAATTATCAAATCAAACTTATCAAGTAATGAAAGTTTAAGATGAAGTTAAATGTCAACAAAAACATTATCTTGCTCTTTAGTTGTTCAAATACATACATATTTTCAAGACTGACTTTGACCTTGACATGAATGTCATAGTGTATGAAATATGCAAAACTAGTACTAAAGAAATTGCATATTGAATAACATTCAAGGGAGGTCTTGAAAGTCTATGAAGAAAATCCAGTGAACCGTTCAGGTTAACATTCTGAAATATTCATAGTGTCGTCGTGACCCTAAAAATTATGTGAAGTTCACCAAAATTGACTGGGCCCTGGGCCTTCCCTAGATGAAGCTTGGTGTCAAATATGAAGAAAATCCACAGAATATTTTTTGCGATATCTTGCCGACTATCTTAACAAGCGATTTAAAATGCCGAAATCGTCAAAGTGTCTCTGTGACCTTGAAAATTAAGTGAAGGTCACCAAAATCGACTGGGCCCTGCGCCTTCCCTGGATAAAGCTTGGTGTCAAATATGAAGAAACTCCAGCGAATAGTTCTTGAGGTATCTCGCTGACAAGCATAACCTCTAGGTTAATATACTGAAATCTTCAAGGTGTCTCTGTGACCTTGAAAATGAAGTGAAGGTCACCAAAATTGACTGGGCCTTGCGCCTTCCCTGGATAAAGCTTGGTGTTAAATATGAAGAAAATCCAGTGAACGGTTCTTGAGATAGCTTAACATGCAGGTTTACATGCTGAAATCTTCAAAGTGTCGCCATGACCTCGAAAATTATGTGAAGGTCACCAAAATCGACTGGGCCCTGACTGGGCCACAATCTCCATGACTACAGTAGGACATAGCAAATGTGCCACAATCTCCATGACTACAGTAGGGCAAAGTGAATGGGCCACAATCTCCATGACTACAGTAGGACACAGCAAATGTGCCACAATCTCCATGACTACAAGTAGAACAGAGCGAATGTTCCATAATCTCCATGACTGCCAGCAGGACACAGTGAATGTGTCTCAATCTCCATGTCTACAAGTAGGACACAGCAAATGTGTCTCAATCTACATGACTACCACTAGGACACAGTGAATGCATCTCAATCTCCGTGACTAGATGAGGAGACACAAAAAGATAAAATAATTGAATGTGTAAATAGAGAATACTACACGAGGTCTCATTACATACAAATTATACGAAACGAGTGTCCTTCCTATGGTATCTGACCAAGCAAAACATAGGAAGGACACTCGTTTCGTATAATTCGTATGTAATGAGACCAAGTGTGGTATTTTATTTATTACCCACGTCTTACATGCATTAAATTGACAAAATAGCGTATTTTTGTTAATATTTTGGTGTCAAACCGAAACCGGTTTCATAAAGAGGTTGCGGAAGAGTAGTACTGTAGTACAATATTTGCATGACGTCACACTGTAATGACGACACTGCCTTGGTAACCGACGTCACGATTCATGTCAGTTGTCATCGCCTCGTACAGCCTCCTACAGTAAACTACTCCGTAGCACCCCATTTCTTGGTTTGCAGTTGCTTCATTTGGCTAACATCACGTGGGTAATAAAGATACATATGGTATTAACTATTAAGAGAGATATCTATATTTTGCCTACCTTCTTGATGTTCTGTGTGTACTGCTTCATGGCTATCTTCTCCACAGTGCTCTCAAAGCCAAAGAAGTGTTTGATGTCCAAGCTGGCATCTTGTTCAAAACATGTCCACATAGGATTTTCTGTGTGAACCTGAAAAAGGGAGAAGAATGAAAAGACATGCTGATTTTAGACCTGACTGTCAAACACCAATGTCTCAATGTTCTTATAAACAATGTATTTACATATGTAAAATTACTGCATAAGTAATTCTTGTAAACATAAACAGTCTTAGCTTGGTCACTGATCATAATGAAACAGGGAAGTATGTCTCAACTTTCACAAAACAAAACAAAAAAATTGTTTTGTTGGCAAATATATACATAACACTGACACATATTACAATGATTATTGGTTTGAAAAATGTAATTTTTTGAGTAAAATTGATATTTTATACTTATCCTGACTCATGCTCTTTTGCTTGTCTCCTTCCTCTTGCGAACATAGTGGAACACTTGTATCTCCCTAATTGAAGTTCCCTTCAATGTAAAATCACTAATTAGTACACCACGAGTTACCTCCCTTCCACAAGCGCGGGAACGAGGGCGCCACCTCTACCCATGTGCCTCACTCTCTCCTCATATACTGAGCCCAACATTTGAATTTACAGGAAATCCAAAGTGTTATTTGGGGAGGATGGGAGGGCTGACCTCATGAGTCAGGATAAGTATAAAATATCAATTTTACTCAAAAATTACATATTTTTCCTTATCCTGACTCATGCTCTTTGCTTGTAGAATCCAACAGAGCGGAGGTGGGAATATATAATACTTTGGATTTTAATAATTAGTGATTTGAACTGTGATGATTGTAATAACCCTATGAGAACTTCATAAAGGCATTGAACTGATGAATTCCTGCTGCCAGCTTATCAGCTGCCATATAGAGGTTATTACAATGTACTTATTATGATAAGTATATATAATATTAATACAATGCTTAAGACTAATAGACTTAAGCTTGTTAATATGCTAGTATAAACTCCTTAGAGTTTGTTAGTTAAAATACTTTAAGATATAAACATAGCACTAAGCTTAAAATATGATTAATTTTAAGCTAATTATATAATAACAAACCTCTTTAGGGTTTGTTAGTTAAAATATTTATATGATATAGACAGTGCTGAGCTTAAGATATGAATAAGCTTAGCTATATATATAACAGCAAACTTTGTAGAGTTTGTTAGCTAATACATTTTACAATATGAGTATAGTATTGTGCTTAAGATATAATTATCTTAAGCTACATATATAATAGCCAAACTTAGTAGAGTTTGTTAGCTAATATATTTTACAATATGAGTATAATACTGTGCTTAAGATATAATTAACTTAAGCTACATATATAATAGCCAAACTTAGTATAGTTTGTTAGCTAATATATTTTTACAATATGAGTATAGTACTGTGCTTAAGATATAATTAACTTAAGCTACATATATAATAGCCAAACTTAGTAAAGTTTGTTAGCTAATATATTTTTACAATATATAGTACTGTGCTTAAGATATAATTAACTTAAGCTACATATATAATAGCCAAACTTAGTAAAGTTTGTTAGCTAATATATTTTTACAATATGAGTATAGTACTGTGCTTAAGATATAATTAACTTAAGCTACATATACAATAGCCAAAACTCTGTAGAGCTTATTAGCTAATAGATTTATAATGTAACCATAGTACTAAGCTTAAGATATGATTAGACTTAAGCTAAATGTATATAGCAAAAACTCCTTAGAGTTTATTAACTAATATACTTTTATGTTATAAACATAGTACTGAGCTTAAGATATGATTAAACTTAAGCTATATATATATAATAGTAAAACTCCGTAGAGTTTGATAGCTAATACATTTTATTATGTTGATTTAGACCTAGTATTGAGCTTAAGATATGAAGTAAACCTTAAGCTAAATATAATAATAAAAACCTTTTAGAGTTTTAATAGCTAATATACTTATATGGTATCAACATAGTATTGAGCTTAAGATATGAAGAAACCTTAAGCTACATATGTATAGCAAAACTCCGTTAGAGTTTGTTAGCTAATACATGATATAATGTAACCATAAAGCTTAAAATATGATGAAAACTTAAGCCCAATATATAATAGCAAAAAACTCTTTTAGAGTTTTGATAGCTAATATACCTATATGCTATAAACATAGTACTGCGCTTAAGATATGAATAAGCTTAAGTTACATATATAATAGCAAAAACTCCATAGAGTTTGTTAGCTAATACATGTTATAATGTAACCATATTGCTTAAGATATGATGAAACTTAAGCCAAATAGCAAAAGCTCTTTAGAGTTTGTTAGCTAATATAGTTATATGATATAAACATAGTACTGAGCTTAAGATATGAATGAGCTTAAGCTACCTATATAATAGCAAAACTCCGTGAGAGTTTGTTAGCTAATGTATTTTTACAATATGAGTATAGTACTATGCTTAAAATATACTTGACTTAAGCTCATTATATAATAGCCAAAAAAACTCTGTAGAGTTTGTTAGCTAATGCATTTATCATGTAACCACTGTGATGATAAAAAGCGAGCTTAAGCAAATTATATATAGCATGAAGCTATTTAGTACTGTTATAAGATAAGTAAAATCTGTAAGATTGACTTATCTTCTCGAGGAACTGTCAACTGTTGTGCAAGGACCATGGGATCAATTGGTGGATACCTGAGATGTCCTCGGTGGTGATATCTCTCAGATAATGGTTGGCAACCACCATATCGGATCTACAGTAATAAACCCTCCATTATTTCAAATAACATTTGTGTAGATGAAATTGTAGAAGTTAGGGCTCTAATATCAAGAGTATTAAAGCTCATGGAGGGTCGGATTAGGTCCATCTGTCTTGTATGCACGTAGTATGACAGTTCTGATCCAAACGGAGATATAGTACGTGAGACTACACTCTGCGTAAGTTGATGATAGAGGAAAAAAATCTGTTGTATATTTTCTTCCTGTTTGGTTTGGTGGAGATAAATTTACAGTGCTCTTGCTGGCCAGCGTGATAGCATCATCGTATCATGGAGTCCAAGTATGTCATCCAGGCATGTTCATAAACCTCACTTGTGAGGTGTTGTAGCACTATATTCATATCCCCAAGTTGGTGCATGTGAAACTTCCGTTTATTCTCCAAACAGAAACTTAGTAGGTTTACTAACCATCTAGTTGTGTTAGTAGCTTGATGATGAAATTCAGGTGTAGTCTGAAACGCTGTGGATTTCGATCCACTTGTATCACGTCCTCTAGGTAAATCGTTTGCGATGTCCTTGGCGATGTATGTGCACAACCGAGTTTGTGTCCTCGATGAACTTTATGTAAAATCGCCTGACTGCTGTGCCCTTGTCTAAACTTGACAGGGGAGGTCTCTAACCTGAAGAAAGCAGCCTAATCATGAAGGTTCAGGTTAACTGGGCTGTAAGGAGGCTTGCTCGTTCATTGATATAAAGTTGTCACTTGCAACCTATGTCTTGAACTGTGAACTATGCTCGACCTCTGTGTAGGCGTTGTTCATCGGGGTCCAATCAGAATAAGGCATTTTGATTCTGTAGAGTACCAGCTGTGATGTCACCGGTGTAGCAGGAAAAGGAACCTTGTATAATATAGTGCCGTCGTTGATATTAGAACAATCATCGGTCTTCATCGTAACTTCCGAAGTTACCCGAAAGTGACCACGTGTTTCGAGGATTAATGGTAAACGCAGCGAAAGCTTGGTAGCAAAATACCTTGCTCTGTAATATTAATGCTGGGTAGGTTATTTTCCTGGCTGTCGTGAAAGTACTTCAGTTTTGAATATAATTCGACTTCTTTATATATAAAGGTACAATAACTTGTAAGTTGTCAGCTTGTAGACTGTATACATGAATGTATCGTCATAATTGTAGAATTAAAGCTGAATTTGTTGTACATATTTCTTCTCAGAAATGTTGGACGATTATGAGTTATACTCGCTGTAACAAGGCTGCTGTTCAATTTCGATATTGAATTGTCTGCAGATATGCGTAATGGTCGCATGTAGATAATCGTATCGTCGTCCGGGATTGCATATACTAGCAATTTATCACGAATAGTTGATTTCTGTGAAGATCTATGAAGCGTCGTTGACAAATTAATACAGCGGCGTTCTGTGTTGTAAATAGCCTGTGCAATTGTCTTGGCGTAGGCTTATAGGCGGCATCTGGCATACAGTTGATAGACAACTTATGCGATGTCTTGAACGGACTGAGGAGTAGCTATATATGACCAGTGGCTAGTATATGGAGACCTTGGAGGAGACTTCCTCGGTGAGCGCCGGAGACTTCACGAAGCTCTCGAAGTATCCCTTCTAGATCTACTGGTGAAGTAGACTTGGAGCCACTTAGCCTTAGCGACCTTCGCCGAAGGTATCGAGTCAAAGTCCGATTAGAATATATATATGTATATATATAAAGCGCTTGCTTCAGCGAATGGCCTCTGTGTTTAACAGGATGTGGGGTCGGCGTGGCGCTACTCCTCCGCGGCGTCCCTTGTAGCTGGTGAGGCTCTAGCTCCTTCGCGAGGCGACCTGGGACTTGCTGGTTCTGCATAAGTAGGGCGAGTGGATCATCTTATCATTTTCAGAAGTCGTGTTACGAAATCTGGTGATAAGTGTCTCAATGATCGTTCTAGATCTATTTAGGCCAACGAACATACGTCTCGTCATGGATTCAACTGAACCAATTTACGATTGTAGTTCTTATTGTTGATATCGATGATCAACTTGTAGTTTTCATCGATGTCTTAAGCCTTGAAGAAGGGGTCCATGTTGTGCGTGGAAAACTTCTAGGCGTGAAAGTTCGCAATTATGGTGTCTGAACTTTTGTGGCTTTATGGGATGCTATGTCTAGATTCTGTGCTACGCAGCAATCGGGTCGATCGGAGGTAGGGTGATAGCATCTCGTCGTCTTCCTTCATCAGGTATGTCTGCGTCGTACTGCCACTCTAGGAAGGTGATGTAGACTTGTGTGCAGACTTGTGTGGTAACCTGTGAGGCGATATCGATGTGGTGATGTACGAGGAGATCGGAGACTATTGACAGCTTCGGCGAAGCT